GTATACATACTGTATGAAGTACTATCCACTCTGTGGGACATTAAAAATGTCTTTTGCATTTATAGTTTCATAATAAGTACAATGCCAAGTAGTTTTAATTATTTGTCAGTGGCACAGTGTATTGTTTTCATTTACTTTAGTGACTGTCTAAGGTAATATCTGAAAAATCCATAAACAATTGAATAAAAAATGAATTCTCATTAAATTAAACTAAAATGCTCAAATGAGTCAAAAACTATTCGGATTTAAACAATCTTTATGTTTCTCAATGATTTTTGGCTTTTGACTTTACAGAAAAAAAGAAAGTCCTGAATTATTTACCAGCAAATTGAAAGGTCTATGGAATATATGTATGGGAAAAAAGGATTAAAACTTGTCATGACTTATCTATACTGTAATCCCGAATTTCTTTAAAAATTTCAGATATTGCAAAATTACAAAAACAATTGCAATATTTTATTCCTTCGGTTGATGATTTAATGTAATTTATAATGTACTACTGTACATGGAACACTGTCCTTAAATGGTTCTTAAGATAGAACTGTAAACAAAGGATATTACCATTTCTGTTTAGCTTCTCAGCAAGCTATTACATGCATCAATTAATACATTCCTCATGCTTCGCTTGCGTCCCAAGACGACCAGTCAATGCTATGAAACTGATCATCAGTGATACCATGGTGATACAATGTGAAAGAGAATAGGACGCACACACTGCGGGTGACTGGAGTGAGAGATTCACTCAAAGCCAGCGATCAGATTACATTTTAAAAGTTCTAGTGTCATTTGTTTAGTCATAGAGTTAACAATATGTGAACAAACGCTTCTAGAAACATGATGGTGCTCCTATGGTTGAAGAATAGTGACTACAAAATATTCAACAGCATAGAAGAATAAATGCGGGTTTAAGATATTGTGGAATCAAAATTAAGAACCGGCCACTTTTGGTTATTAAGATACAGATTCACCACCAAAGTTAAGAAATTGGCCACTGATTATATTTTTTTAAGATGCAGATCTACTGAAGTTTAGAAGTGGTCACTTTAAGCTTGCCTACGATGCAGGTGTATTCAAATTATGAAGTGGGCACACTTTTGATCATTAAAGGTCAAGTACTGTACACCAGTGACAAAAAGAGTCTTTAACCCAGTTGACTTTTTTGTTTTGATCCCAACTTGTTCTTTAGTACTTGTTTTTGCTGTATTTGTTTATTAGTGAACTAAGTCCTGGCCATAAATTAGGAATTAGTGGTCTCAATAGGGTTTGTAGTACCATTTGGTCATAAATTTGAGTTGTTCCTTCTTACAATACAATGACCACTCATGCCATTGGTGTACAGTACTCTATTTTTCCCCAATATAATTTTTAGTCAATTCAAGAACTGCTCAGTTCAGAAAACAATGAATATTGTTGCTAAAGTTTGTGGTTATACAAAGTTCTTTACATTCCATGCTACATTCCTACCTGTATCTGTAGACAGTCATTGCTTGCTTGCTTATTGTTGTAACAGGATAGGATAGTATGTTGAATAGTTATTGATTATTGTTTTATTTAAACTTTGGCTTCACCTTGTTAGTATGTACTTACTCATTGTATGTTGAAAGAGAACTCTTCACCTTTTTGTCATTAGATAGCAGGCTTTGTTGCAATTATTTCACAATTAGTTAACTATTAGTAATGCTTTTATTTCTGAATACATTATTATTTAAATAAATGTTAAATTGTGTGTGATGAAAAACAGAAATGAAAAATTCAGGTAAAATTTCTGTTGATAAAATTAGAACGTCCATCTTGAAAACATGATGGCAATATGTTAATGCAAGGTTTTTACGACTGCCATTAAACTACTGTATTTTATTGACATAAAGACCTTTGCTTGAGTAACTGTTCTTGTTATAACAATTCAGAACTTTACTTCTCATCTCAATTGTATATTACATTCTTTTTTGTACAGAATTGTCCCACTAAAGCAGAGGCGAGACGAAGCGCTGCCAAGATCGCACTCATGAACTCTGTGTTCAACGAACACCCATCCAGAAAAATATCAGACGAGTTTATTGAAAAAGCAGTTGTTGATGCAAAATCATCTTTTAAGGTATTTTTTTGTTTGTTTATTTGTTCATTTGTTATATTTTCATTTATTTGTTTATTTAATTCAGCAATCAGTTTTTTTGTTTACAATACAAGTATATATTTGTTTTATATGTCAGTTTATTATAAAAAATTTGATAAATAAAATGTTAGTATTTTTAAAACAACAATGGGACAATGGCCACATACTGAACAACATAACTTGGGTAACTCTTCTTCTAATTGGAATTGAAATGTTAAATATGATAATTCAACAATGACAGAGGTGTTAAACTTGGTTTCCATGCAATCACTACAAGCTATCGCTGAAAGCTTTCGGTGATGTTGATTGGCCGGTTGAATCAGAGAGCCTTTCTGATCGTGCCGAGGAGTGCTACACAGTACAACGATGAAAACACTAGCGACAGTGTAGTGATTTTAAGAAAAACAAGCTTTAAACACAATCATTCAGCTTAAAAGCTATCAAGATGGACTGTAGTCAGTGGTTAAACTCTATAATACCTCTTTATGGTGTCCGATTAAGAATATTAATTCACATAATTTATATTATATACTTCTTAATGTAGGTGTTAACTGTGTCATTTTGTAGTGTCAAATGTAAAGTACTTTGTGTTACTTGACTTATCATCCATATTAATATGAAAGGTACTTGATAATTCATCCATAAGTACTTGAGTACTAATTTATATACTTTTTCTACTATTTCTCTGACATTTTCATGCACAACTGGAATATTTATTGTAAGAAAAAATTAATGAAACAAATGCTGCAATAATAATCTATTTCTACAATTATTGTTTTTTAAACACTTTTTTATCGCTCTTTCCTCTTTTTTTTTTTTAGGGAGGTCCCAATGATGACCATAACCCAAGTACAAGTATTGGTGCATTCCGCTTTATGTTGGACTCAAACAAAGGAAAATCCATGCTGGAGTTTCAGGAACTTATGACAGTATTCCAGCTCCTACACTGGAACGGTAGCCTAAAAGCCATGCGGGAACGCCAGTGCTCCCGTCAGGAGGTCTTATCCCACTATTCTCATCGAGCGCTAGATGATGACATGCGTAGTCAGATGGCGCTGGACTGGATCTCACGAGAGCAGGAGTCATCTGGTGCCATTATGAGGGAGCTGGAGGTATCAGATCATGAGATCGAGGCAGCACGTCTGGCTGGGCGAGAGCTCCGCTTCCCGAAAGAGAAGAAAGACATCTTGATGTTAGCCTGCAGTCAAATGGGACCTATCTAATCTTAAGCGTTTATAGAGAGTATATATTTTTTATTCAGTATACACGTCCATTTTTTGCAAGATATTTGCTTGCTTTGCTAGATTTAAAAGATTATCTAGATTTTAACAACTGTACATAAAGTATATTAGTTAATGCATGAAAATGTGTTAAATTATTATAGAGCAGTATTTATATTGCAGTGTTTTCAATTTTAGATTGGATCACTGAAGCGGGGAGTTATTTTGTTGAGGCATGGCTAAATTAATAATTCTGGCTTTGGTCAGTTTCTCTTATTCTGGTACTGGTGGGTGTTTGCCATATGGCAGTTATATGACCAATGATAGTATATCATTTGAACCAAGAATAAGGAATACTTTATTGTCATTGATCAACATGAACAATGAAATTTGTTTTGACATGTGACATTCGTTGACCAATGATAGTACTTCCATGTACTTAATGCTATTGTTTTAGCAAGGGGGGGGGGGGGTGTGCGGATTTTTCTAAATGGTACAATATTTTGTAACAACATATACTGAACACGAATCATACCATTAATTGATACTGTACAATTATATTACATCTATGCCTACATGAAATTGGTGCCCCCCCTCCCCCGCATTTCAAAATTCTGGATCCTTCCCTGTTTACTGTCTGTTCTTTTGCTTTTTGCTTAAACCAGTTTGCCAAACTGGTTGCGGTAACCGTCACATGCTACGAAATGATATATGGGATTTGCTTTCATATACATGCCACAGCCTCTTACATTCTCTTCTTTACTTCCTCTGCTAACTGACAAATGATGCTCAGTTGGATTTTAATTTAAATCGGACTATGCACAAATAGTTTTACCCTAAGGTTATACAGCCAAATATTGGGAATGCTATTTTGTATAGCAGCAACTAATTACAGCACCACATACCGACATGCAATCAGTTGTGTTATTATAAAAATACTTTTTTCTGATCGCCAAGATAATATTTTTTTTCTACTTGCATTTTCATGACCAAAGATGAATGTTTGTAAACAAATCTTTATGTAACCTGGTTTTTTTTCTTGGCAGTAAAAAATACAAAATCTCCCAAAATAAAAATAATATTTATCTTGCCATACAAACAAAGAGTAGATGCTCTTTTTTGGGTTAGTGGTTGAAATTATTTTGAAAATCCTGTAACAATTAATATGGTATTGCACAAATTTGAATAGGTAGTTATAAAATGCATTAAATGTATGTTTGTTTTGTGTGTTTACATGTGTTTTTTAATACAAAAAAATAACCTTGATACTGTATGTCTCTTACAAACAATGTAACAGATTTTATTTTAATGTTGCTGGACACATTATGGATTTTGGTGGTTAGAATTTAAAAAAAAAAGTTTCGGTATAAAAGTTGCATTAAATAAGTATTCCCAATTTAAAACAACAACCCAAGTTAAATTTTCAGATAAACTTTTATACTGTACTGTATATTACAGTATATTGATTTATTATAAAACAGTGATTTTGAATTTTGTTCCTGTAAATTGTCACCATTTTTTTTTTCAGACATGCTTTCATTTTTGTTTAAACTGTAGTCAGACTTGCTTTAACAAAACATTATTCATACCTTTCCTCTCATTGGCCATAAATCCATTTGATCTTTTTTTTTATTACAAAGGTCCAAGGCATAATGTGTTTTGATAGCATCTATTTATCATATGCTGACAGGATTTTAGTCAAAGAATCATTACAGCGCCCTCAAGTGGTGAGAGAGCTCTGTGACCTTAGCTTTTATGTATTTCTCAGAAACAGACACTGAAAGTTCTACAATATAAAATACAATTTTAAAAGTGAATAGCTGCATGGAAGTAAAAAAGCCCTCATTACTAACTACTTGTAATCCCATATCAATGTTTTAATGTCTTGTAATTTGAATGACTTTCAAAATTTCTGAAATTCATGTCAGTTTCATTTGAAATGGTAGAAATTTTTACATGTGAAATGTATTAGTTAAAATTTAATACCTGAAATCTTATCTGTTTTGCTATAGTTTATTTTTTGTTGTTGTTATAGTAATTATTATTATTTTAATATATTTTCCTTGCATATCTAATAATATTTAATTAATTATAATTTGTTTTCCAGATAGGATATCTTTAATTAGAGCTCTTATATTATGAACTTTACATTAAAATTTCAGTTTAATTTATCCAGAATTGTCATTCCCACCATCTTGAAAATTGTCCAGATGTTAATTGCAATACTGTACTTGTTTAATCAACTATTTCTTATTAAAGAAGCTGATTTTTAAAGAAGTTGATTATGAACCTGCAGAATTATCTTGTGTTTTAACCCCATTATTAAGTATATTTAAAAATACACTTGTAAATAATTGTATGTAGCAGAATTTCATGAAAGGATGGTGCAAACTCTTATACACATCTAGATGTGTATAAGAGACAGCTCTTATTCTGGTACTGGTGGGTGTTTGCCATATGGCAGTTATATGACCAATGATAGTATATCATTTGAACCAAGAATAAGGAATACTTTATTGTCATTGATCAACATGAACAATGAAATTTGTTTTGACATGTGACATTCGTTGACCAATGATAGTACTTCCATGTACTTAATGCTATTGTTTTAGCAAGGGGGGGGGGGGGGGTGCGGATTTTTCTAAATGGTACAATATTTTGTAACAACATATACTGAACACGAATCATACCATTAATTGATACTGTACAATTATATTACATCTATGCCTACATGAAATTGGTGCCCCCCTCCCCCGCATTTCAAAATTCTGGATCCTTCCCTGTTTACTGTCTGTTCTTTTGCTTTTTGCTTAAACCAGTTTGCCAAACTGGTTGCGGTAACCGTCACAGGCTACAAAATGATATATGGGATTTGCTTTCATATACATGCCACAGCCTCTTACATTCTCTTCTTTACTTCCTCTGCTAACTGACAAATGATGCTCAGTTGGATTTTAATTTAAATCGGACTATGCACAAATAGTTTTACCCTAAGGTTATACAGCCAAATATTGGGAATGCTATTTTGTATAGCAGCAACTAATTACAGCACCACATACCGACATGCAATCAGTTGTGTTATTATAAAAATACTTTTTTCTGATCGCCAAGATAATATTTTTTTTCTACTTGCATTTTCATGACCAAAGATAAATGTTTGTAAACAAATCTTTATGTAACCTGTTTTTTTTTCTTGGCAGTAAAAAATACAATATCTCCCAAATAAAAATAATATTTATCTTGCCATACAAACAAAGAGTAGATGCTCTTTTTTGGGTTAGTGGTTGAAATTATTTTGAAAATCTTTGACTGATGATAAAAATGAAATTGATTTTATATTTACCTGTAACAATTAATATGGTATTGCACAAATTTGAATAGGTAGTTATAAAATGCATTAAATGTATGTTTGTTTTGTGTGTTTACATGTGTTTTTTTTTTTTTTAATACAAAAAAATAACCTTGATACTGTATGTCTCTTACAAACAATGTAACAGATTTTATTTTAATGTTGCTGGACACATAATGGATTTTGGTGGTTAGAATTAAAAAAAAAGTTTCGGTATAAAAGTTGCATTAAATAAGTATTCCGAATTTAAAACAACAACCCAAGTTAAATTTTCAGATAAACTTTTATACTGTACTGTATATTACAGTATATTGATTTATTATAAAACAGTGATTTTGAATTTTGTTCCTGTAAATTGTCACCATTTTTTTTTAGACATGCCCTCATTTTGTTTAAACTGTAGTCAGACTTGCTTTAACAAAACATTATTCATACCTTTCCTCTCATTGGCCATAAATCCATTTGATCTTTTTTTTTTATTACAAAGGTCCAAGGCATAATGTGTTTTGATAGCATCTATCTATCATTGCTGACAGGATTTTAGTCAAAGAATCATTACAGCGCCCTCAAGTGGTGAAATAGCTCTGTGACCTTAGCTTTTATGTATTTCTCAGAAACAGACACTGAAAATTCTACAATATAAATTGAATACAATTTTAATAGTGAATAGCTGCAAGGAAGTATAAAAGCCCTCATTACTAGCTACTTGTAATCCCATATCAATGTTTTAATGAATACAGATAGTTGAATTTTGTCCCTGTAATACGAATGACTTTCAACATTTCTGAAATTCATGTCAGTTTCATTTGAAATGGTAGAAATTTTTACATGTGAAATGTATTGGTTAAAATTTAATACACAAAATCTTATCTGTTTTGCTGTAGTATATTTTTTGTTGTTATTATAGTAATTATTATTATTTTAATATATTTTCCTTGCATATCTAATAATATTTAATTAATTATAATTTGTTTTCTAGATAGGATATCTTTAATTAGAGCTCTTATATTATGAACTTTACATTAAAATTTCAGTTTAATTTATCCAGAATTGTCATACCCACCATCTTGAAAAATGTCCAGATGTTAATTGCAATACTGTACTTGTTTAATCAACTATTTCTTATTAAAGAAGTTGATTTTTAAAGAAGTTGATTATGAACCTGCAGAATTATCTTGAATTTTGTCCCTGTAATACGAATGACTTTCAAAATTTCTGAAATTCATGTCAGTTTCATTTGAAATGGTAGAAATTTTTACATCTGAAAAGTATTGGTTAAAATTTAATACACAAAATCTTACATGTTTTGCTGTAGTTTATTTTTTGTTATTATAGTAATTATTATTATTTTAATATATTTTCCTTGCATATCTAATAATATTTAATTAATTATAATTTGTTTTCCAGATAGGATATCTTTAATTAGAGCTCTTATATTATGAACTTTACATTAAAATTTCAGTTTAATTTATCCAGAATTGTCATTCCCACCATCTTGAAAATTGTCCAGATGTTAATTGCAATACTGTACTTGTTTAATCAACTATTTCTTATTAAAGAAGCTGATTTTTAAAGAAGTTGATTATGAACCTGCAGAATTATCTTGTGTTTTAACCCCATTATTAAGTATATTTAAAAATACACTTGTAAATAATTGTATGTAGCAGAATTTCATGAAAGGATGGTGCAAACTACTTGTATAATAGTTATTTATAGAAAAGAAATAATATTAACAATTGCGGTAATTTATACTAACCTGAAGGTTTTATGCATTATTACTGATGTTTTAAGGGTGTTTTAACGTTAATTTTTGGGTATGTTTTGAGGTAATGTTTTCCAATTATGCTTATTGATAATATTGATTACAATGTCATTTTAGTAATTCATATTCAGATTGACTCAACATAAAGCATAATACGTTTCTTAGCAATCTTAGTTTAGAAAAGTAGTATCTTTAATTTGTTTTTCGAATAACAAAGATTGTATTACACAGTATAATTTACCACAATCTCATAAACATTTTCAACTATTTTTGCTTGATTCTAAATACTACTGCTGTATTTAGTTCCATATTGCTGTGATGTTCTTAAGAATGCACGGCGAATGCTCGAATCATGTTTTCGAATTTGATTGTGCGTGAAGTTTAGCTGTAGGTTATTCTTATCGTCTTCATTCACCAAGGGTAGTTCACAAGCAGTGTGCACTCTTTACCTCATGCGAGGCATACTGGGTAATTTCATCGTGTGAAACATGTTTTATACAAAATACAAGTGTCTGCTCAGAATTTAAATGTATAGAACGCTTACTAAATTAAAATTCAAGATATGTATGCCTAGATATTATGGTAGTGGTTTGCCTGTGAATTGACTTCTAGGTAGGTAAACACGCATTCATTGTAAAAGTTTTTTGTAACGAATACTCTGTTTGAAATAAGCAATTAAAATTCATGTGTTATGCACTTGAGAGTGTAGTGAATTTTGAAATCCTAGTCTCCCATCGGAAATCTCTCCATCTGCTCATTTCAAATACATTTAACAGTCCAATTTTATTCCCGTAGACTGATCTTTTTTTCAGACCTTGAATTATAATGATAACTTGGTGATTGCGGAAATTTTTTCTCATCGAACGTGAAATTACTCGCCACTTACAAAAAGAGAGCACGCTGATGGAGTCGCTTTTAACGTTGTAAAAATGCTGGCTTGTGTTCGTAATTGAACTAGAGAGTCTTTTAGCTTCGAATATAAGCATTTTTACAACCAATCTACAACTCTATTTTCCAATGTTGGTTTCAATCGAATCTGAATCCGGAAACACTGCTAAAAATTTACACAACCAATCAGGTCCATGTGAATGTTTCGTTGGAAACGTTGTCCTTATCCTTTCTATTATTCCCATCTCCCATACCCAAGTTACACACCATTGCGCTACAAATAAATAAATATATTATTTATTGGTTGAGTATTCAATACCCAACCAACAACTAAAGTTCGCCTCTGAGGGTGTAAAAATACATCGATCTAACAAACACGAACATGCAAAGATCGACAAGACGGAAAAGTCAAGAAATGCTGTGTTTTGAAAATCGGTTTTACGTTTTTCCTCTTGTCGAGAGAAGGCAAGGAAACCCCAGTGGTGGCGCCAGGATTTGCCCGACGGGAGGGAGGGGGTGGGGGCGATGTCCCCGACCAAAAAAGTATGACAATTTAGGGGTTTCAAAGGCTTATTTAATCGATTTTGGAGTCAACTAATAGGCCTATGTAGAAAACAGGGCCTTTATATATTTTTTTCTCTACGACCGGTGGGAGGAGGGGGGAGCTCTCCTCGACGGGAGCCCTGGTTTGCCATTGTATGTTATCAGTGACCAGGGGTAATAACGCTCAGCGCATTAGATCATATAATTTGGATTTGGCGCTATATAGGCCTAAATAGATATTAAGCATTTTGTTGTTGTTGTTGTAGTCGTCGCCGTCCCCGTCGTCGCTGTCGTCGTTATTATTATGCGATGCTCTCCAGTTCCTGATGTTCTATTGGGTCTTTCTAGCTGTGTCTCGGCTACTTCCCGTAGCTTAGAGGCACGTGACAGCACTTTTCTCAAAATATGAGCAGTTCCAAGAATGGCCGACAACTGCATTTTCCCAATGATGTTAGGTAAATCTAGCTTCCCATGCCTGGTTTCTTCCAAGTGCACGAATTACAACAGGTATCACTGTCCCTTTCGAGGCTCTGTGGATTCTCTTGATTTCAAATTCTAAGTCCTGATATTTATCCAACTTCTTCAGTCTTGATGTTCTGGTCTGCTGGTATAGCTATGTCAATTAATGTCCACTCACGCCTGTCCTTCTGCATTACAGTAATATCCGGTCTATTATGCTTTAGCTTCTTATATGTGTAGATGATGATGATAATAATAATAATATTATTATTAGGACATATTATTATTATTATAAAAAGTTCTGACTGGCTGAAGTTCTTAATTGTGTGTGTTCTCATTTCTAATATTAAGGCTTTGTGTGGCATTGTTCAAAAGTAGTTGGTACATTCTTGCCAGGAAATGAAGACATTCACTAGGTCTGGAAATATAATTTTGGAAGGAGTTCACAATAACCGTTTGATCTTTACCGGTGAACTGCTTCTAAAAGCACATAGTGAAATTCTACCTCCTTTGGCTTCATTTATTGCCCACTGAGACTCATTTAATATTACGTCATCGGAAACTTACGTTATTTACAAACTATGATACTCATCCGAACTATACGTCAAACTATTAGATAGGCCTAATATATTTGTTAAATTGGTTGAATTATGTAGTTTAATAACCATGTGGTTATTATAAAGCGTCATGGTTAAACTAACCATACATTATCCATTATATAATATCTTTCGCACTTCACGTTTGATCAACACTGTAAATTGTGAACCAAATAAAGCTGTAGTGTTAAGAGGTCATTTGAAAAGTACAAGTACGGTCGTTTTTACCGTAAGTATGGAGTTACGATCGAATGAAACTTCTACTTTTATGAAAGGTAATTTTCCTCTGTTAATTAAAATTATGAACATCTCTATCGTCCGTGCGACGTGAGTGTAGCTTTGAAAAACCGATATTTAATATATTATGCAACTGGATGATTAATTTTGTTGAACTCGTTTACCACGTCGTTAAGTTTTATTCCAGTAATAATCACCCCTTCCTAGTTCCTTCACCTTCCGCGAGAGAAGACGAATTTCTGTCAATACAACAGACAGTCCTACTTATCAAAGCTCAGTTACGGACTTATGATTTTCCATCATATAAACTTTTTTTTTAATCATGATAATAAATAATTGTGATAATCTTTTAAAGAAAAACAATATTTCAGTTTCTGCTGATTTACTACATAGACTTTAAAGCAATATCAATTTAAGGTTGTCTATGAAAAAATGGAACTGCTCTTTCGATATTGTTGCTATGGTCTCAACGTAAACGTGCGTAAACATGTGCGTTTTGTACATGGGGACAAGTGCATATCTCTGGCCTTGTCCTGATTGGCCAGTTGTTATTGTTACTCTGAAAAGAGCCATTATTTACTATGTTGCCCTATGTTGTGAAATAAAATGCTTTTTTACTACTATAAATGATAGGCCTACGTTGAGGGTCAGCTATCTGTTCATAGAGAATATTTAATATTATTCTCATTTTGTCTATTGGTGGATCTATATTGTTGGTAGGCCTATGTCATAAAAGTTTCAATGTGAAGCTGGATATGCCTAAAACATATCAAATATACAATCCAGTCAGTGATATCATAGAATTAAACAATTACGTCATAAATTTCACAATACTTAGGTCTATGCCAAATTCGCAATGAGTGCCTTATATGGACGTTAAAACAACCAATTACAAGAGCCTACTGTTTTATACACACAGATAATAAATATAGGCTATGTCATACATTCAAATATCGTCATAAATAAATTACGGTATCTTCACTCGATGCGAGTCATCGGTATCATATTTCTGTCAACTCCAACCAATTTATTTGCGTTGCATGTCTTTTTTTTCATAAATATTGGAGCTAAAATTCCACATAGTCCTACGCATGTTGTTTAAACTGATCTTGATCAATAATACATAAAATTGAGCTTTTATTTCCGGTAGATTAAAGGTATTTGATTTACCGACTTTTATTTGGATGGGTATTGGATTTTAACTTGATAATTATTTCCGTAAACGGTTCACTATGGTGCAATTATGGATACGTCAAAAGTTGACTATGCAATTTGTTTTAAGTGCCAGAATACAAAAACACTCTTAACCTGTTAATCTGCACTGAAACCTATCGGCGGGCAACATCGACACGGGCTGTAATTTACTACGTCTAGAGCCTCATACTACATGTTTTCCCGTGTGAATTGGTTTAGCAAAGGTAGGATTATTTGCCGGTATTTATTGAACCTAATCCGACCAATAATTAGCGGTCGTGCGGCGTAGGATACATCATCTCCACTGCTCGTATAAGAATATCACATCGTGCTCGCTGGTTGTGATAGCAGTCGGTTCTTTTTCTCATTATCTCGCTCAAACTTTTCCCGCAAGGTAAGTCTGTTACACTATTTGTAGCAATAGGCAATCCAGATTGCAATGTAAATGACTATGTATCATATATGATTGCGTTAACACTGACACGTTCCACAGTCAGAGAGATCTGTACGTGGCTTGCAGAAAAAACAAACGTAATGTTGATCGGAAAATAGGCCTATATAAGATTCCATGGGAATACATTTCTGGGTAGGTAAAAAGAAATTTGCGTAAATAACGTTAGCTGCAAAATAGAATGTTGAAATCCAAATGTTATGCTAACTCTATTGATATGTATCACTGTGTAAACAATTAACTTATGTATGTTTCTTGAACGTGCTATAAAAGGTAATACATGTTTTAGAATGTATTATTAACAACTTCTACGAAACGGAATATAGCCTATAATATATGAGACAGATATATTGTAAACCCCTTTTTTCAGTATTTCATGTTCTATTTAATCACAGTAATTAAGTTTATACTGATTTTGTTATTGTTGCACATGCGGTTGTGCCTCTGTTATAAATAATAAATAAAGTTACTTACGAATGTTGATCATAGATTAATTCAATTGAAATTACTAAAGGCTATAAATAAGCATGTGAAAACATTTCTATATATGGTTTGCTTTGAGGTGTAACGTCTCGGGATCGAGGAAAAATAATCAGCCGTGGCCAACCACTATCAACTTTGCCGAGTATGTTGGAATTTTAAATGAACTAATATTCTTCCAAAATTAATTGTATAAAATCTAATGAAAAATGAGTTAGTAAATCGGTCAGGTCGTCAGATAAGTTAAATATGCATATAGGCCTACATTTGGGAAAAGTTCATGATAATACGTTACACTGCACAGGTAGATCAACGACGGTTTGCGCTAATGTGTTTTATTGCCATTGTTTCCATTTTTATTATAATATCAAAATGTATCAAAGGAGCTTTACAAGCATAACGAGCTATATTGTAGAATTTCCTGATCTGCATTGAATATTAATAAGAATGCATTTCGTCTTTTTACACCAAGTTTATATTTATTTTATCGTGTAAATTTGAATATTAGTTTTATGAATGTTGATTACAGCACACACATGGAATTATTGTTTTTAAATTATCGTTATAGGCATTATCATTGTCGATGTTATTGCCATTATTGTCATCATTATTAATGACATTGTCATTATTATTCATTGTCATTATCATTCATTGTCATTATCATTAACATCATTGTTAATGTTATTGGCAATATCATTGTAATACTATATATTATCATCACTGTAGGACTGCTTCATCATTATCATCATCGTTATGCCTATCTTCATCACCATCATCATTACCATCATCATTATTGTCATCATCATCATCATCATAATTATCGTCATCATCAACACCATCATCATCATAATATTTTTATTAATTTTAGTATTAGGCCTATTCATTTATACCGCATACCCTCGTTTTGAGGGCCTTAACTTACCTTATTTCTATCGGTTTTGTAGAATAGTGAATAGTTTACGTAATAATGGTGTTCATATTTCAAGTCTGCTCTGCAAAAATGCACATATAAATCATCATTTTTTTTAATCATTAATTCGCATTTTTGTTCAATACTGAATACTCTTTATCGTGGTTGATAACTATAATTCATACACATGTCATATTTCTGGGTTACGCCGCACAAATAATGTTTTTTCTCAAGATTACATTTTTATTTCAAACCAAGAATATGTAATCCTGATACACGTAGGCGTACACACGACATGGGACCTATTTTTGAGCGACGGAAGAATGCTCCCATAAACTCTGGTAGAAGAACTGGAACGGCAAAACATAGAACAGTTGGGTGAAAAATGTGTTACAACAGATAGTTTCACAAGGATAAGACTTGGGCCTACATGTTATTTGTATTTTATTACAAATAACTACAGTATATACGAGGGTGAATAAACATACTGACCAATGGATGCTTAGAACCCAGACTCGTTAATAATTGTCAGATATGTGAACTACTAGATTTAATACTAGTTTAATTTTCAGAGAGTTTTTGCCTTGTTTTATCCGACGTACATATACGTATATACCTACAGTGCAAAGAACAGTGTTAGTAATTTTAACTGTCGAAGTATCTGAATTATTATTTACCGTTGATTATTCCACCAGTAATGAGAAAGCATTCCTATTTCCAAAGGGGCCGTAGATTATGAATACGAATTTCGTAATAAATCAGTAGCTAGAATTTGAACCAAATATGATTTCGATATAGATTAAGCCTACGGTACTCTACAATAACTTTCCTATAACATTAACATTGGCGCAAATTTAAATTATCCTCGCTCGAGTTACTTCTCTTTAAATACTAATGACATTGAGTCACTGATAGAAAAATGTATATAGGCTGCAATTTCATCTTCTTATTCTTCAATTTTAATTCTTTGACCGCATAATTCATATTGGAGGTATTTGTATGAGGATTTTGCATAGCTCTGCCGACGAAAGGCACTCCAGAGAAATCGGAACAGGAGATGATGATAAATACTCTAGAACTGGGTTTGCTTACTAAGTCGAATTTCTAGTATGATCTTAAAAGCAATAACTGGATAAAGGAAATAAAGTTTTTAAAAAAATCAAAAATTTTAATTTCTTAGGACTTCTTTGTAAACTGAAGCTATTAGCTTTCAAATAAAAATTAGAAAGTGAAAAAAAAAATTGTTCATGTTAATTAACAGCTACATAGCTTTAACTAGGTTGGAATGCACACACAGGCGTGAACCAACTCATTCTTAAACTTTTTTCTCCCCAACGTGTCGCATCATGTCCAATCAGCTGTCAAGAGGCGCGCTTCCATCTGTGTACAACGACAGGGGCTGAATGGACCATGATACACCAGGACAGCCCCCCTACTCTTCTCGACAGATGTACTGGGTTCTTTCAAGGGCATACTAGCCAATTGTGTATTCTGGGCCTACGGTTTAGAGTCCTTATCAGAGAAGACATAATAATATCTTTTTGATGTTTGAGCATAGGCATTTAAAGCCAGGCTCCGTTTTTCGTCAAACACATTGTTTTGAGTCTTAGAAAAATCAGTTGGCAACATACAAACATTTTTTTTCCTCCGGCGCCTGATATTGAATTGGCTGGTGTTATACAAATAGGATAAATGTTGATGCGGGGGTTCGAATAAAGTTTGTACATTGTACATGTAACATTACCAAGTCAAATGAATGAAAATGGTTTTATCATAAGTATCATTGAATCTTAGGATTTATTATAAACGAACATGACTAACAGGCTAATACTATGGTGAAAATTCTCACAATGTAAACACACCTCTATTTATCAAAACTCATTTCAGATAATTCCGTCGGTAATCTTTACAAATGAAACAGACGAATTCACAAAATTCTTATAAATGTTATTAAAGTCGACCACTCTCTAGTGTCTATTTTTGCACGAGGATGATAGCTTTCCTGTATGGTATCATCGGTTGGCTGGCCAACTGTGTCTGTCCCATCGTTTATAATTTATCATATCGCGCTAAAAGCATGTAGAGAACAAATTAAAATCTGATTTGATACCACTCGGGCATGATAAACATGGTGATCATAAACATTAAATGTTAATGGACGCACTTGCTGTAAACACTACTTGAAAACCAGTATTATAGGCCTAATTCAGGGATTTTTGCTACTCGGAAAAAAACAATTGATAATTGATCACCAGTTAAAAACGCAACAATCGCCAATTATTCTCTCTTAATGTAAAAGAACAAATTTTACCATGAAAAAGTGGTGCAGTGATCACTCCAATCTCACTCTTTCTCGAGTGTAATCTCACTCTTAAAATTAATTATTCTTAAAATAGTGAAACATTAGTCTGAGTTAAAGTTCACTCTTTTGTCACTATATCTATCTCACTCTATTGGGAGTGATCACTGTAGGCACACTTCTACTCTTTTACATTAAAGAGTGAAGGATGCTAACAAATTAAGGTCTGTTATCAGGTTGAAGTGTTTAAAATAAATCATTCTGCTATGAAAATGATTTAAGTGCCTACATCATTTTATTTCGTCGATGAATATGGCTTTTTTGTTGTTTAACCTGTCCATGTTGGTGCTTCTGCTACCTCCTCGAAAGTCAACTACTACAGTTTTATGTGCGGTTTGTCAGATCTGTTCAAATTCTGTAAATGCTACTTTTTTCCCCTCAAAACTACTCTAATCTAAATCTCAGCTCACCATTGCAATGTAGTGAGTAAGTAAAGATACCTTCTGTTGAATTTGGAGGAAAACAAAATAATGTACTTGATGCCCTTCCGATCGTGTGTTATTGCATGTAAATTCGCGTAGTTACATGACAGATTTCCATTGATCTTTGACTTGCTAAATACAAGTTTCTTGTCACGTATACAATATAACACTCGAAACGCATGTAAGGATTCAGTAATTAATCATCAAATATAGATAGAATAGTCAATAGTTCACAATTCATAAATTTTCTGTGCTATAATCAGTCGCCATCCAGATTTTGGCAATTACTGTTATGATGCTGGGGGTACGTGTGGGGATTGTTTGGAAAATCACCTTGTAAATTCATAATGTTACCAGTTGAGGTTCCAGCCCGTTGCCACCTGGCCCGTTGTGACTCGGCATTTTGCTACACGGCCATTTGCCACATAGGCCCGATACCACCAGGCCTTTTGCCACCCTAGGCCCGTTCCCATCCGAAGGTGACAAAAGGCCGAATGGCAACGGCCAAATGGCTCTAGACCCAAATGATCGCTACCTCACGACGGTTATGATCTATCTCCAGCTTAAATTATTTTTTATCTATAAAATCTTCGTTTCGGAGATTCGGGTTTGTCTTTCTATTTGGAGGAAGGCATATCACTCCAAACTTTGAAGTCGTTAAGAATCAGTGCTATCTCTGTAGGTAAAACACCAGAAATTTATTAGCCACTTAGTTCAGCCCTTCGAGGACAATCATACAATATTTTCATTCCAATTAGATATTTCTATAGTAAGTATCGCATGGGAATTAGCTACAAAAAGGCGACATAGTATAAATAAATGTAATGGCAACATCCTCCACTTTATGTTATTCTTTGAATCGTAAAATAAAAGTGAAAGATTGTCTAAATACCCAGCCGACAAGTTGGCAAATCACTGCTGCTATTTTCACGTGTAATTAGAATTCTATAAACATCATTACAAGGAGAGAAGTTGACACAAATTGCGGGACGATGATTCAACGTCCCTAAGGTACTAATTTATTCATTCAAACTTGAAGATGCTGGTGCAAAATCAATCCTCGCAAGACATGGTAGAATCCTATGATATTTGGCTTTTGCAGTATTCACGGGGTTCAACATTATCTGCTATTATTTATTTAGCACAGAGATTTTAGAAATCATGCGTGTTATATTAATTTATAAAACAAGCGTGTTTTAGTTGTTTTTTTAAAGAACTGTGATACGTGGTTATTCTCGGCTGTTCATGGACTAAATTATTCAGATTTTATGAAATCATGTTTATTTCTACTACTAGCAATTGAATGTTATAAAGTGCTTCTTTGAAATACTAGTGTAAACAGTTGCATGTGTTAAATCAAATGGCTGATATAATCATTGGCAACATTTAATACCAATATGTAACACATGTTCCCCGCAATTATATAAATAAACTTGTTTATGTTCATGTAAACTAATAACTAAAGTACAGTATATACATAAATTATTAGTCATCATACTTTATTACATTTCATTATCCGTCATGACTAAATGAGTTTTAACCGTCTCTAATCGTCGTTTCAAATGCTTTAGATGAGGGCGTATTCTATTGATATCTGCACATATATATTATATTTAATATAAAGGTAAGAGAATAACTCACAGCGTCATTGTGTTGAATTGAGTATGGGCATGGTCCGTGACTACCTAGCGATCGTAAAGGGGCGCTTATAATAGGTACATGTTCACATCATTCTACAACGACAGGGGTTGAAATAACCATCGCATCGGAGTAACCTAAATTATCGTTAGGTCATCACACCTGTCTCTTATACACATCTAGATGTGTATAAGAGACAGGTATATATGTATATATATATTTCATATAATATATACCGGTAGGCCTCTATATATATATATATATATATATATATATATATATATAGGTGAAATATAATAATGAAGTTTCGGCAAGAACATCTTTTTGTATGAAACATGCTTGCTTAATAAATAATTTGGTTGCATTGTAACATAATTTTTATTATCAATATAATTTTAAACAAAAAGGCAACAGTATTTTTTCTGCCACAAATTTTGAAGGACTCCGTCAAAACATTGTAAACACTCTGTCCCTAGAGGGGGCACTTGATTAGTGCCTGCGCAGTTCACATCAATCACTAATCTATCTTTAATCTTCAGCTTTATCGATTCATATTTTTTCGAATGAAGTTGAGTATGAAAAGGTCTACGTCACAGCTAAAGATAATTTTTCCTAAAGTGAAATGTGATTGTAATCTTATTAAGCCGGGTAACTTTTAATCATTACAACAGAGAATTATTTCACATATGACGTTTTGAGTATAATTGAAGTCGATGTCGACAATATTTTTAATTTATTCCTGCGTTATGAGAGCACAGTATAACAAGGTATCATTCATTACATTTTTTTAAATAAAAATTGTAAGCGCTGCATTATTTGTAACCTTCCTGTGACATTGTTTGTTTTATTGTGAAGAAAGTCTACTTAGTTCCGGCTGTTTTGACCTCTTCGATATTTTGTCATTTCGTTCAATTTGATCTAGATGATTACATTTTTTATTTCTTTTTTTTTCAGAATTTTAAAATGACACCAAAAGAAATTATTCTGTCGTTGTGCGTTTTGGCTTCAGTCGTCTGCCTCAGCTACGCACAGTGTGAAACCCACGGTAAGTTTACTGCAATGTGAATTTATAAGTTATATCAATTTCCTTCCTTGAAACAGATTCACACCTACAGTACACAAAATAGTTGCGCGATCATTGCATTCCAAACCTCGGTTCACACGAGAAAAATTTAGATGCGTTTAATCACAAACTCAAGAAACGTTACTACGCCTACGCCACTCACTCGAAATCAGACGCGTACTGACGCATTCGTAAGCGTATGTGGAAGGTTGACTGACGCCTTTTTTTTTCTCAAAGAGTAATAAAAGAAGAAAGTAACAGTAATTACTGCCAATTTGCTTGGGTTTGGATAGCACCCTGTTGTGAACCTAACAGATTCAGAGCTCGCACTGCATTATTACAGGCAATAATTGTGACATGCGTAATTATTACACGTTAGTGTTGGGCTTAACAGAGCGTTTACATTAAAACAAACGAAGAAGAACGAATATGGACGTGATCAACTGAATTATGAGTTGGACGCAAGATCGTGCAGATCTGTATATTGTACTTACTCTCCATATAGTTCAACATCTTTATATTAACTATTGTGATATTTTTCTAATGTAGGTCTTCTTTATTTTATACAATTATAGAAAAACCGTGTATTTACGAAAACAAAATATATGGTTCACTAGAGAAGTGGACAACTAAGGATTGTAAAACGTGTACATGTTCATATGCTGGAAATGGTTACCAATGTTGTAGAGAGTGAGTAAGAATATGTATTATTAATAATAATTATAATTAAGCCAATATCACTAAACCGGAGTGAAATCAAAGGTGCTGTGCATGTTTAGATGTTCAAAAGGTGTATTTTAAGTTTAGTCTTGAAAACAGCAACTGAGGGTGATTCGGCAATAGTTATGTTTAGGGAGAAGATTCCAAATAGTGGCAGCCGAAATTATTACTACTGTACTTTAGACATACTATTTTAGCCCTATTAGTGTTAGTAACGCTGCAGTGAATATGACTAGGACTGAGGCCGGGCACTCACCTTCACAGAATCGCGTCGGCCGGCGACCATCGAGTGCTGCACTTGATGGTCGCCGGCCGACGCGATTCTGTGAAGAACGCAACCATCACAACGACCAGTTCAGACTGCCATCTGCAATCAGCAGACGGTGTAACGCTCACATGAAGCGGAGTTGTGGAATCGTCGTACGACGCAGTGAGTCCCGTGCCCGGTCTTAGTCAATACGATCGCTTGCGGGCCTTCAGGCAAATTTTGTTCAGAAAAATATGAAAATAGAGCAGTCAGAACTTTACTATTATTTGCATATTATTTATTTTAAATCTTACCACAATTTAATGAGTAACATTTTTGTCTGAATTCTTTCCAGTGCATGGATGCCAATAGATTATTCATGGGACGACTGTGTACCGGTTTGGGACGAAGATAATTGTGTCTATCGACTTGTACGAATCGAAGATCCTGATGTTGAGTGCGAAGTCATGGGTGGAGTCATGTAAAAACACTACCGGCTGCTAGTAACAACAATACGAAAAAGATCATAAATACCACATTATGGTTTGGGAATTATGACACCGTACTTTTACACAGTCAACAATTACGAGACACACACAGGACATACGAGAGAAAATTTTTACTTAAATCTTAAACTGGCACGAAATATTTTTATGCGAAGAGACTCTAATGCGTCATGAGGGGGAGGATTTATTGTGATAATTTTTCTCCTTTGTTTTTTTAAACCAAAAGTGCTCATTTTGCTAAAAATGATTCTTTATTGAAATTTGTCGTGATCTTAGCACTCGTCTTCAAGTTAACTGCGTCTTTTAAAAGGCACAGTATTATTTGTACATGTAATTAGGTTTGATTAATTCTGTTAATTTCTTCTATTAATTACTTAACATAGAGAGAAAGAAATAAGTTGGTGCTTGTTGCGACAATAAATTATTTGGTGCTTGTTATTCTTAATTTTAGTTTTTTCTGTTTGTTTTTCTTTTTTTGGTACCGTACAAATTTAGCAAATTTAATGTGAATTGTAAGTAATCGTTATTCAAGTATCGAATAATAAAAATGGTAATAGGAATAATAAAATAGTATTATAAGAAATAAATAATGCAGTATTCCTAAAGCCGGGCACTCACTGAGTCGTACGGTACGGTCGTGCAACCGTCGCACGACGAATCCAACTCCGCTCCCTGTGATCGATAGACGACGCAAATCCGTCTGCTGATTGTCGGTAGCAGTCTGAACGGATCGTCATTGAATACGATCCGTTGCGCGCGCGTCGTCGCGTTGCGTTCTTCATAGAATCGCGTCAGCCGACGACCGTCGTGCGCCGTGTGAGTGACCGGCTTAACATAGAAATATGGGAAAAAGACGATGACAGCAATGATGATGCAAGACGCTGGTTATGATGATGTCGCTGCTGAAGATTGTAGTGATGATGGTGATGGGGATAATGCACAATAATGATGGTAAATATGATGATGATGGTGATGATGATGATATTAATGAAGATGTTGATGATGATAATGACGATGACAATAATGATGACGATGATGATGATGATGATGATGATCATCATCATGTTAACAATGATTGCACTAATTGTAGCTGTGATGATAATGATAATGAACCGTATACAAAAATATAAATATTATGATGGTTATATTATTATAATTAAAGACGACAAGTATTGCCTGCTTAAATTATCGTTAGGTCATCACACTATCATTATAACAACTAATTATTATGTAACGCCACGAAATACCTGCTCGCCACAAAATAAAATCAATAATAATTTGCATAATCTCCATGACAGCGGTTTACAACTAATGAATTGAAATTCAAATCGATATGAAGTCAAAAGATATTCATAAATAAACCCTGCACCAATAATCAATATTAAAAACTGTAAGATGAACTAAAGCTTGTTTGGTAAGTCGATTCTTCAAACATTACAGAGGAAGAAGTCAGGTAATGTTTTGTGTCTTAAGTAAATATAGGAATGAAGAGTGAGCAAGAGATGTTTAAAATGAAGCATTTGCATGTCTCTGTTTGCGCACTGCTCTTCATATGTGTCACGTGTGTTGCAGGTAAATTGATTTATTTAACCTTTTTGTCTCACGTATTGTGTGTTTTATCTCTTCAGTGCAATATCAACATAATAGATTGCCATTAACGTTAGAAGCACATTGGTAATGCAGAGAAATATGAATCATTTAGTATAAGAAAATCATATATAACATATTTATTATTAATTATTCATTATTATTATTATTATTATTATTATCTTTATTGGCATTATTGTATTATTATTATTATTTATTATTATTATTATTATTATTATTATTATTATTATTATTATTATTATTATTATTATTATAATATTAGCATATCAACCTTGCCTTTTTGTTCATCATAATCAGCCTATTGGGCCTATACTATATCCTAAAGCATTTGGGATACACTTGTAAGAACCAGTAACATTTTGCTTAGCCTCAGTGTTTTCTGCCGATTGCAGGCTCAAAATGTTTTTATTTTGTTCTTATTTGTTCTTATTTTTACACACTTTTTAAACATCGAAATTTATTATTTTACAGAAGTATATTACTGTACTGTAATAAATAGGGTATTGTATAGTGCACCTAGTCTATTCACACCTAACGCACATAAGGTACAGATGAATTTGGTGGTTTTTCTATTTAAAAAAAAAATAAAAACCTCAGTTGATATTTTACCTCAGCCTCAATTTGTTCTTATTTTTTTAAAGTAATTTCAGTCTCAGTGTTTTTATAAAATGTGTTCATATAAAAAAAAGTGTATTTAATCATTTGACTGTTCAATAAACGGTAACACTTGGCTCATATGCTTTTAAATGTATATAAATCAAATAAAATATTAGAAATGGTACATGACTCAAAAAACTTCTACAATTGTTCTTGAATTCCTTCATGTAGAAACAACGAAAAAGCCAAGTAATGGTATTTGCCCTATTAATCCGACATTGTCGACCGACGTTGATGGGAACACGTACCTATGTCCAAAATTCAATCCTGATGGGACAGAAAATACGCACACAGAATGTTGTCATAACGACCGTCCTGATGAGGAGGGTAACTATCATTCGTGCTGTCAGAACGATGAAGACAAGTCTGCAGAACAGTAAGTTCCATGTTCACTGCTCATACTGTATATCTTGTGTTGGCCTATAATAGGCCTATATTTAACCGTTATCATATACCTATTGACAAATCTCGAAGTTGTTAACATTATATCCATTAACTCTTTAGATATGCCTGCATTTGAAGTAAACATTTTTGAAGTTATTCTATAATATAGAGATAAGATTAACACAGGATGCCCCAAGGCTCGGTACGAGAACAATTCTGTTTCTACTATTTATAGGCCTAAATTAAATGTTATGCCTGACTTCTGTACACAATCTAAAGTAGTTTAGTCGACACAGTTGTAATTTCTGAGTGACATGATAATGTTGACAATACATTTACAGTGGCGAATCCAGATTTCTGTTTTGCAGGGTGTATCAGAAGCAAAATTTAAACATTTTCAGGAGCAAAAGCAAGCAAATTGACATTGGTCACAACCAAATAACCCTTAATAACAATTCACTAGCTATCAGGGTCGTAGGCTCGTTTTGGTCGGGGGGGGGGTGGTGCGAAACGACCTAGAGTGTGCGAAAATTGAAAATGTTGAACTAAATCCTTATTCCAATGTAAACTTAATGGTCACATTTAGTATTTTGGCTCAGTGGAATTAATTTTCCGTCAATGCACCCCTCCAGCTTACGCCCATGTAGATCATATCAAATTTGCATCTTTCTCATTTTATACGAACTCTCTGTCGTAATTGGTTCCCTAAATACATTTTAAGATTCTACCACCTTGTATATAAAATCTAACTTACTAAATGTCAAGATCATGCCCTGTTTTTTTAAATTTTAATTTCACTCATTGTTCTTCTTAATATTAGGAATGCTGCGTTTTATAGAATGCTTGCATATATATTCTCCGGCACAGCCGTCTGTATTGCAATCGTGATAGTGTTTACATATTGTAAACCGGATACATTTCCATGTTTAAAACCGCTGAAGAGATATGCCAAGAGAGGTTTCGACCTTACAATGGACGCAATTTGTTTCTGTCCATGTTTACCAAAGTAAGAAACACAATGCTTCAAAATGTAACTTAAAATGAAATAGAATAATGAAAAAAATATATATTTGTATAATTTATATAATAACGTTAACTTGTATATAATATTATCGCCTTTTTATTTTTTCTACAACGATGCAATTAAGTTTTGTACATAAACAATGTGTACATAGAAAATGCATGACGTCAACATACTGTAGCACTAAATATCACATAGGCGGTGAGGGATCTATAAGACACACACCAACCTTTTTGTACAATCGGCAAGGTGGATCTTGATATA